TCTATACAACAGAATGTTAATTTTAGGCAATAGAATAATGGTAGATTATCTCAGGGAACGCTATTACATAGCTAGAATAATTTCTTAGAAGGGAGAAGAAAGGACATATATTAAGGAAGAAAAAGAAGTACTACACAATAAGCGTAAAAGTAATTTACTCATTAGTGTCATCTTTCACTTCACATACACAGTGTTTAATAAGTGGCAAGTAAGACTGAGTGCCAGTTTGTACGCATGTACAAATCACTGTCATCTTTTCACGAAGGTAACTTTTTGATGATCGAATCTTCAAACTTTTCAGTATGCAGTTTAGTTGGAGATGGCTAACAGTTAGTTCTAGGGGTGTGTTTCGACTCCCTTTAGACTCGTTAGCCAGATATACCATCATTCGAGTGGGTAATTGTGCTTAGATTCATCTTCAATGCCTCTTGAGCAACAACTGGTTGTCATCTCAACAGTCTAGTGAAGAACGCTTTGACGGCTGAAAGGATCGGTGGTGGATTCTAGTCTCAGTGGGAATATTATCACTCACCATAATGTAGGCATATCTGATCGATGTGTCTTAAATGGAACGAAACGTGCGTCCTGGATTTCACTGCTAGTCAACATCAATCAGTTAACACTATAGTTATATCAAGTTGTTATCGCAACGTCCTTACGGAAGAGACCCATCATTTCAGTTGGGTAATATCAACCATAGGAAAACTAGAAAGACACAATACATAATTTTTGCATTCACTTCTATGGAATAAAGTAATAATAATGAGCTAATTTATAAGTTCTGTTTTCTTTCAGGATATTTCAAAATTGTGGAAGCAGAGTTATTTCATTGTCGATATTGACTATTTAGGAAGTAGGCTGTTTTTACTATTCTACGCTAAGTTTTGCTGCTGAGAAACAATATATGGATTTCCATGCAATCGGGGAATTGATTAATGAATCAACATGGTAGTGGTTCTCCATCCGAACCCTATCGCCAGCTTTGATCCAGTTTGATAAAACTTTTGATAATAGCGCTTTAGATTATGTGAAATGATAGGATATTACTCCAAGTGTCTGCAACTGATACAGTTTCATGTCTATATCTATTTGTTTTTTCAGTCAATCAGCTTATGTATTAACAAAGTTTTGACTAGATCCTTAATACGAGTGTCAATAACCGAAGGAGCATATCACTTAATAAAGTGTATGGTTGGAAACCTGTGTTAGATCAGAGTGATTACTCATTAGCAATCCATCAGCACAAAATTGGTCAGTTAATGCTTTGTGATCTGTGATTATCACACAGTGAAATCATTCTCATCACCTAATTTCTGATAGTGATTGTCGCTTCTGAAGCTTTAAGATGAAGGCAAAACATTATCACTCACTGTCCTGACAACTATTTTTAATAGAGAAAAGTCTCTTAAAGTTCATCTCCTATCTAAGCATAGATTCTGTTGTGAACCACCTAAACGTTTAACCAAATGAATACCAAATAATAGAGAAGATTTGTAACTCAGGTGAACGATTTTAGTGTGGTTGTGTTTTCTAAACTGAATGGTTTGATTGAGAGGCTTTCATTGTCTCTCTAGACAGCGTCGTCATTGCAGACTTTAATATGAAGTCAACTTATATGAATTCTCCATGAATGAGGTAATTATATCTTTTGACAACTTTGGTTACGATTGTTTGCTAATCTGTATTAGTATCCATCGTTTCGCTGACATGGTATTTTATTTTATTGTCACGTGACTTATTCTTTATTGGTTGATAAATTTAATCAGGTCGGATGTGAGGACAAATACTCGCCGCTAATGACATTCGATAGTGGTCGCACCATATCATGAATTGGCAGAAGTTAGAATTCGTAGGCCATTAAATAAGGTCCCAGTGGTTTAATGGTCTTCGAGATAGCTCGCCTTGTTATCAGAAGGTCCTGGGGTGGAACCTCGGTGGTTGCGTACTTCTGAAGAATCCCATACTAGGATTGAGGAGACAGCTGCCCAGTACTCCCTGGAGGTTTCCCAATGGTTTTCTAGTTGATTTCAGCTCATGATAAGATCCTGTAACCAACCTAATTCCCAGAAACGAGCACCTGAATATCTGATCTTTGTTAATATATCTGTTGATTGTAGATTCATTTAAGTTCCATACATACTTATACTTGTATACTTATATAAGTATAGAACTTGGACACTGTGGTAGAGTATAACTCCATTATGGATAAGATTTTATTTTGATAAATCACACAGTGTGGCACAGCAATATTTACTGATAACCAAGTTTCCAGTACAAATTATTGCCGTTCATAATCATATCAAGTCACACAACTTTTTACTTCATTTTTATATATGAGTAAAGTTGATTAGACATTTGAATAAAAATCAGTATAAGATTAAGTACATTTGGAATTGATATTAGTGTTATGAATAAATACAATAAGATGGGAAATAAGATGAGTGTTTTTATAGTCAAAATAAGTAACTTGTTAGAATGTTGTGATGTGCTTGAATTGAAATAGAATTTTGAGATTAATAATTATCCTCTTCTGACTTGACTGGCAGTAATAATATCTTCCACATCTTTGGTATTTGCACTGAGTCATTTCTGTTGCATGTGTTGTGTTGGGTGTAGACTACTCGATGAACCAGGCAGGATTCAGTAATCAATCTCTCTCTCTCCAACTACCTTTTATTACATTTTAAAATTTTGATTCTGTTCCAGCCTATTGTTTGGGACATTCTCTGACATTTATATGGTCTTCACTGCCTAAAACTTCGTCATTTTTCCAGCCAAATTATTGCTCTCAGTTGTCTACATGCACCGATATGAAGGAATGCATGTCGTGTCTTTTGACTGGTTTATGTTCTCGGGTCAAAGGTGACGCTCACTTTGGCGGATGTAATGTTTTTCACAATTAATTATCATTTATTTATTTTGTAGATAGTGTTAATCTTATCTTCTTTTGTTTTTCACTGCATATTTTTATTTTTATTTTTTTTATTACAGCTTCATTCCACACTGTATTTTTGGTACAAGTATGGAATTTTCAGCGTGAATATTGGTAGCGCGAAATTCGCAGGCCGACCATAGATATCAGGTGTGTGTCGGCGTGGGCTCGAACCCCGGACCATGTGCATGGTCGGCGAGAGTCCTAACCACTGTGCCACCGACGCATACTGCAGTATGTACTATAGATATTCCCTTGAAAGGCAATGAAAGCATTACAACTAAACCACCCAACTCAGTGAAAACAAACATATCGAGTGACTAACCTTCCTTTTAACCGCTTTGAGTATGACCTCAGCTATCGTTAAATCACTTAACCAGTATATATGAAGCATTCTGATCATATGACAATTACTAATCTGTAGCTTACTTTTACCAGTTAGTAGTGTTCTGTGTAGCTTCAAAACAGTAAATTTAGTGTAACAGCACAGAAGGCAAGACACGAAAGTCAAGGTATATTTTCGAGTAATCAAACAGCTATTTATATCAATACATTTTATATTCGTTAATCAATCGCTGAGTTTGTGATTTTGGTTGACACTAAACGACATGAAATAGAATGCTAAAATATACATATAGCATTCTGTTGCTAATGCATTAGTGAACTGTGGGAATAGTATTTAGATGTTAACACCAACAATTACAATGATTCTTAATGTTAGAATAATACTCTGTTGGAACTCGATGTCTGTATCACACTACCACAACGTTAGCTAGAGTAAATCTGATACTTTGTTGAATAAATTAATTGACTTAGTCACTAACCAAGCCATAATCTAGCTTTAAACAACTGGAGTTATATCCAGTTTTTATGTGATTAAAAGGTACGTTATGCTCGTTCAAATCACCAAGTTAGCTGCCAGTTTGAGAATTCATCTTAATGCGTAAGACTTGCGTACATGAAGACATCTTATGCAAGCATCTATTAGAAACTGGAATAAACTCATTCATAGCTCCTACTAAAATCATATTTAAGTGTTGGTTTGTAGGGATTTGATTGGTTTGAGGATTTCATCATGAGCTGACATTGGTTAGAGAACCATTAGAAAACCTGCAGGGAGTACTGGACAGCTGTTTCCTCAGTCCTAGTTTGGGAATCTTCACAGTACTTACCCGATGGGATCCGAACCCAGAACCTTCTGGTTACAAGGCAGTCTTTAAGACCATGAGATGCACACTAGCGACTTGCCCTATTAAGGTAGGTAGTTACTTGGGGTTCTAGTGAGAAGTCGTGACCAGTAGGGTGCAGCAGATAGGGTGTGAGAACAAATACTAGCCGAAGACATTGGCTAGGAGTCGCGCTATGTCGTGAATTGGTAGAAGTTAGAATTCATGGGCTGGCCATTGGATGAGGTCCCAGTGGCTTAATGGTATACGAGCTAGCTTGCCTTGTAACCAGAAGGTCCTAGGTTCGAGCCCCGTGGTGTGGGTGTCTACTGTGAAGAGTTCCAAACTAGGACTGAGGAAACAGCTGTCCAGTACTCCCTGCAGGTTTTCTAATGGTTCTCTAACCAATGTCAGCTCATGGTGAAATCCTGAAATCATATTTATCTGGATATGGGTATTAGCAGTTCAGCTGCATCTAAACAAACCAATATGATTTCGAAATCACTCGTGACAATGATCATGACTAACTGAATTTTCAATGTGTTCGAAGTTTGAAATTTAGGGGTTGGTATGAATATACTTTATATTCATTTGTTGTCTCAACATTCACTATTGCCACTGGTCTAAAGTTAATATGACTTTGTTGTACATGTAAGATAAAATAAAATTTTGCAATGCATCCTTCCTGATACTAAAATAGTTCAAATATAAAATTGTGTAGAGATGTTTCTGGGTAGGCATTTTAATTCACAATGTATTTCTGCAGGTTTGTTAAATTGGTCAGGGTAGCAAACATTTACGGAAACTTTGGATTTTAACCATTTTTCTTTTACAAAAACAGATATATTACTAATTTTCATATCATGTTCTATTTTATCTTTTTTCCAATCTCTACAATAAAGTGTAATCTCTGAAGATTTTACAGAAACTCAGTCAACTGAATCGAAACTGTCAGTGGAGTATAATGCACGAGTGGGAACGCGTTCTGAGGCGACAAGATGTGATAAAAATCCATTGGATATGCCGTATCAAGATCCATGCAAATTCCAAGTCGATTACAAACAGAGTCCTTCAATTTATGATGTCAATTTCGATTGTTTTCAACTTGGGAATTATTCTTCTGCATCTTCTTATGTGAATTCTTCTAGACGTGAAGATTTTGCAACGAACTGCATGAATTATTATCGTTTCAGTTGAGATACATTTATAATTTTATTAAATTAACGAAATAGTTTAGCCTGTATTTCAATGTACACAGGATTTTTAAGAGCGATGTTTAGTCGCAAAATAGAAACTATTTAATGTTGCTGTCATATTTCTACGGTTTTGTGAGGAAATATCTGGGTAACCGTTTGTAACTACTTGCTAAATAATAAGTAGTAAGCATTAATCCACACGTAGTGAGCTGAAGGATCTAAATAAAGTTAAAATTTTTGGAGGTAATTTTGCAGGATTTGCCATTCTTAAATTTAAATAATATATACTTCTGCAAGCCGATGAACTGGGATTCCCAGGAGACAACATATTATTTCAGTTTCAAGAGATTGAAAGAGAGTAATCATTTCAAAGAGCTATCAGAATTATGCTATCGAATATAAGACGTATTGTATCGCTTGCCTAATAATAGTTTTCCTTAAGTGTAGAAGAGAACAGTCTTGTGGTCTTCCTCCTAAGCAAATATTAATAACTAGAAACTGTACACTCCTAACCTCGAATTAAATTAGCCGTAGTATCTGGATTATCGAAACTGTTGAACATTTAACTCATTTGAGTTGGAACTTTCAATCTGAAATCTGCCCGTTTTAAAATCTTGTTTGTCACGAAATACTGTCAAAGAAAAAAACCTTTGAAAATCATGCAGTATTTTCATCCTCCTTTAAAACTCTATCAAAGATACTCCATACCACACCTTCGGGATCAAGGTCAGCTTCGAAAAGAAAATTACAACATCATCCAGACTGATCCATAAGAATGGATGCTGAAAACTGTGTGCAGGAATCAACATAAATCACGCTGCAGTGGTCGCTGAATAAGTTAATAACAAGGTTCAAGTTGTGTCATTTGAACACTCAGGAGATTTAAAGGAAACGCTGATGGAAAATTCACTATGAGTTCTCAATATCACTTCAGTGACTTTTAGTTTTCATACCTCCCCACTCTCTGACTATGAACTATATCTTCCTTCACTCACCTCCAGTCTAGATTTCTAGGGAATTCGTCTCAAGAATTCTCTTTCCTTCCATTTTTACGCCTTGTCTTAATTATGGGTTTCTGGAAGTCAATTATTTATAGACAACTGATGTATGTGTGTGCGCTTGTGGTGAGGAAACAACCATAACATGTAACCTGTGTTTCTCGAGCATTGTGAATTCAGTGAGGCAAATTCTATCGACCAAAAAGCCAGTTGCTGAACTAATAACTCGCGAACGGTGATTAAATATTCAAAAGAAGTAACACATATTCTAAAAATGCAAATCAAAAATTCTTTGAAAAGAGTATGAGCAAACACTGAAAGAGTATACGATGGATCAGTTTCATTTCGTTAGTTCTCTTCAGCTGCGTACAACCTGGGAGGTTTAATATGTCACATTATAATAAAATGTTTAATATACGTTATTTCAATTGAAAAAATTATGAATAACTTAGTGGTGAATACAGAAAATTGTTCGACGTGAGATCTGATTAAGATGTTATGTTATGATTTCTTATTTGTAACAAATATTGTCTAGCGCAGAATTTGTTGAGGATTGTGGCGGACCTTAGACTCTGTTAATTTAATATCCCGAATTCGGATAGAAATAAAAATACCAAATCAGTAAGGTTAGTGGAAGAATATATTAAAATTTGTTACTTGGGTTATTACAAGGTCCAAATCTACAATTAACGTAGTAGACTCCAGAAGTATTGTGAGAAGACTGCTCCAATCTTAATTCTCCAATATCGATATTGCCAGAGGTCGACCAAGGTAACGTAGGGAGAAAATACAGCGTCCCTCCGAAATTTTGGAATTGAAGTTAAGTAATTAGAATTGGCCGATGGCAGTTGAAATGGTGGAGAAAACGGAGAGTTATAGACAGAACTATATTTTCATTCAAACCACGAGGTTAAGTTCAAAGTACAGAGATTCTGATTAAAACAAAATAATATACCAGATGTTCATTTCTCACATAGTAGTAAAAGTTGGATCAGTTTATTTTTGAGGACTCCACAGAATGTCAAAAAGATGCCTAGATAAGTGGATGATTTCTTAATGATTGGGAATTAAGTTTCCACATAAATGAAAGCGTTTGACCGCGATAGCTTCAATGGATGAAAGAAGGCTGCTTCAAGGCTGTTTCAAGAGAAATTAGCTACTGACAAAGCCTCATCAAAAAAATACCCTATAAAAGAAAGCACAAAGCCTGAGAAGATTATTTCTAGTAAAATATCCATTTGTGTTCAATTAATTTGCAACGACGAAGATATTTTGAACATTTTGAATGATTAAAATAATAAGCGAAGGCTTACCTTACAGCAAAGCTAGGTGCTCTGTTTAAAAAGATGTTTCTCATTGGTGCAACCAGAAGTCGACAGGTATATTTCATATGTTATTTTCTATTGTGTATATCAATTCATGTGTAGCAATTATAGTGAGAAGACTGAACAAAGAGTCTAACTAAGGTTATTTCCAGCATGTGAACTGTTATTTTCAACATTATTGTTCAACACAACCCTCATTCATTTTTATTGGTAACTGTTGGTTATGATGTACGACTTAGGTGAACATATCACTCAGACTTTTTTTTACAACGGACTATTGAATCAAGATTTCAGGATTCTATGGATTTTATTGATTATGTAGTAGGTTTTGGGGTGAGGCAACGTCTTTCACTTGGTGTCACAAAGGTGACATATATTTTGATTTTTCTATGGGAAGGTGAGAAATGTCATTTGTAGTATCATCACCCACAAACTTCAGATTCCTACATTCGTCAGAGTAACACTTCATCTTCTTATCTTACGAAAATTCTGATTTTTTTAGTTTTGAAATTAAGATTATAGAAAGTGGCTACCGAAGACCACGGAAACTATGCTTTGAAAAACATATAAGAATTCTATAGTTAGAAAGTGAGTGAGTGTGTGTGTGTGAGTGAGTGAGTGACAAAATGCATTTACCGACTTTTTAAAACTCGACTATTGTATTATTAGTTGATTTTACTTCACCATTTTGTTGTTTCTAAGATTGAATGAAGATTATCATATTATGGATTTTGTAGCAATTTGAGTTAATTTCAGTTTAGGTTTTGTCAGGAACCGACGTAATCTACAGAATCATTGAAAACCAGAGGACACCAGGCACCCGTTTTATCCTAGTTTGAGTTTCTTCAGCAGTACGCACTTATAACCCTATCAGGGATCAAATCCAAGACTTTCAGGTTGCCAGACCAGTCCATCAAAACTTAGTAATCAGTGAATTCTATCTTTATCAGTTCATGTAGCACAACTACCGCCAACCGACACCATCGGTAAGTACCCAGTCATTATGGTTTGATGGATCACTCTTGTCACACTTCCTCATTAGAACTGTCTGGTGCGCCTAGCATAAGTAGCCTGATTGAATCATTGGAGGCTACCAAAAATTCTATCCAGTATAATACATCAAATTTTCACCATTTCTTCTTGCTACAATAATTCAGTAATGCCGTTGGATCGTAAAGTGTGCTGATTGGCTACCAACTTACTGCTCCGCATTTCTCGAAGGAAAATATCACAAATAATTGGTTTGTGCTTCCAATCGAACAGCAGTGCGTCAGGCGATATACTATCGATTACAATTTTATTTGAAGGCCCTGGACGAAGAGAAAATATTATTCAATGAATTACGTTATACACTATGAAAATATTTTGTGCAGAATAAAGTTATTATCATTAATAATCTATGACTGATGTTGGTTCACGGTGAAGTCTACAGTGAGATTAACTAGAATATGTTCACGGATTGAGTGATGAGTCTTCTGATTGTCCCTAGGTCATGGAAATATTTGTAAAGCACGCTTTTAAAATCAGCCTTACTAGGTGGTTAGATTAGTCCTGATTGGATATTGTGTACTGCAGACTGCAGACAAAAAAATATGACGAAAAAGTTCTGCCGAATAGTCTGCAATTCAAGAGACATAGTATATACTATATATATACTATAGTATTTGGAGAAAACGATAGAGTAAAATCCTACAAACTAAGGATAACCAGTTAAAACTTTATCATAAAACTAGTTCAAGCTTGTTTTAATGACTGACTGTTTCAGTTTACAGAAGTAAAGTTAGAATTCTTTTACAATTATCACACAAAGGATTTTGATATAATGTGAATTAACTTAGAGACTACTTCTCGAAAACATCTAGCCAGGAATAATTAAACTGGGTTTTTTCGATTCGTATATAATCCCATCGTCAAGTTAACCCAACTTACATGCTTTTATTGACTTCAATGTGTTAACTGATGATAACTTCAAACAATCCTTGTGGCAATCAAAAAGTATGTTGGGATATAGGAATCGGTTACTGAGTAATCTTAAATCTTGATCGAAACCTGTCAGTCAGGTTTTCAAATAGTGGTCTCTATACTAAACAACTAGAACTTTCTGCGCACCACAGTACACTTAAATTTAATATCAGATACTGTGAATTATTCATAGGGGAACCCTGAGAGTGGGTTTGGTGCCTGTTAACTTTCATCAGCAGATCAGTTCATGTCGTCTTAATCTATCTCAGAAGCAGTGCACCACACTGTCTAGTCACTTAGTCCAATGGGTATACTGTGAACCTAATCATCGAATTTTTAATCATGTTTAAGAATAAACTTCATGTACATCATTTAGTCATGCTAGAGGTGGTTAGTCATCAGGAAAATAAAATAGTTTATTTAGAAGTATGGATATTCCAGATGTTGTTTAAGAAATAACAGTAGCTTTATTTTGGACAAGATGTCTACACAGTGTGCAGAATTCTTAGTGCAATTTACTGCATAGTATTTCCCTTCACACAGGATCGCTAATTGAAATAGGAATCTATCACATCATGTGACACAACGCTGTTCGATTCAAAGCAAAGACCAGTCCCTTATGACATTTTCCTTGATCTGCTGGAAATGAAAGTCAATCAGAAATGTTCATGAGTACATTTTGCGACCGAAGGTCATAAGTGAATAGCTGAAACGACAAGGATTAGAGAAAAATATGATTCACTT